CTATATTGGAAAGATGTCAATCAAAAATCTTAGAGCAATTGTTGATGCACCCTGGTATGTAACCAACCAAAGAATCTCTGCGGATCTGAATATCTCGATAGTAAAAGAAATAATCGAGCAAAAGGATCAACAAAACATTAAAAAAAAATAAACCCACAGTCCGATTCATTAATTTCCGCAATACATCAACATCAAGTTATCAACAGACTAAAGCGACGTTGGCCAACAAACCAGTAACAAGGACACGTGATTCTCTCACTGAAGGGGACCACATCCGTAAGAATCAAGGGACAGGACTTAAATTCATTAAAATAACTTATAAAATACATTTTTTTTATCTATTCTTAATGTCTTAGTTATAATAAAAAAATATATACTTAATGGAAATTCAATAGAAAAGCAAATAGAACTTATAATTATAGTAATTATTTTCTTTTAACCATTTACAGCTAAGTACTACCATACATAGAAGAACTAAAAGTAGTGCTTTTGAATTTTATTTTAACCTATAAAGATACTTTATTTTAAATAGTCTTATTTTATTTTGCGAGACATAGTACAAACTTCTTAAAATTTCTCCAAGGCAAACTTCTCCTCTATCTCCCTGGATACACCTGTATATTTACCGAGCTATATACAAAATATTTCATTACTCTAATGGTTGCCCAAGCAGTGATAATATCTGATTCCCTTATTGCTGGAGGCGTACAAGTATACGAGAGAAAATTACAAGCTCTACAAAAGCGACAAGGAGAATCGGAGAAGGAAAATAAAATGTACCTTATATATAAGTTTATCCACCAGCTGTTATTGTTGTGCTTCGAAATTTCGTGTTTTCGACAAGTAAGTTTGTAAAGGGATAAACAGTGTGCTAATGGATGTCATAGGGCTTATATTCTTATATTTATTTTTATGTATTTCCTTGCTTACTTCCATCTACTTACTTTTTTTATTACATTAACAATTGAAGAAAAGAAATATAGAAATATAATTTTTTAGCCTACCTGCGCTTTGTATGGGTAGATTAAAGTACACTGGAATCTCAAGTATTATTTTTTTTATGTGAAGATTATGACCAAGTTAGTGCATGCATAAATTCAGCAAGATGTTAATACTTGTCTTACAATAAAATTCGCCTCTACATTAACTATTTTTAAAGGTTGCCATACACGCTACGATAAATCGTGACGATTTAACTGTACCGTTCAAATTACACCTATAATCGCTATGTATATAAAGTAAAACTGCATAGTTCTGTCATTATCATCGTGCAACCTCTTTTGTCCACTGCTGGACATAAGTATCTCTCATATTTCGCCGCTCTTCAGGATTCTGAACATCTTGTTGCAATTTTTTGGATATTTGTTTCATGTCGTCCTCTGGTGCGTTTGTCTTCTCTTGGGCACCAGTCAATTAATTTTCTGTCCATCTTGAGTACCCGCTACCCGCTACGGGTGGCGGGTAGGAAATCCTTTGGAATCCCTTGAATTCTATTTGACAGTCCTATCAGGGAAAGAGAATCAATCCCTGCCCTCTGCAGATTCCATGAGTTTCTTTACCCGGGAAGCTAGCACCTGTTAAGGGTCCCTTATCCAGGGTCATGGATGGCATCCAAAGGCCATCAAACATAGAGCGGGCAGCTTCAAACAGCATCCGTACTTACAATGAGCGGCTAAATTAAAAACTTACCAACCTGTTTTAACGTACAGTTCTCTTCTTTTTCTGTAAAAGTAAACCAACGTTACAAGTGTAAACAGTACAACAATTTCAATAAATTTATCGGAATCAGAGAAAATGCGCAGTTTTATCAATAAGTGTATGTTCGTATAATAGCATTTCTCATACCAGTATCTTTCATTTTGATAACTGGCACTACCATATACAGCAAATACACCATTTTTTCTTTTGCAAGCATTAGATATTTAAAGTAAGAAGTCTAGTTTTTCCAGTTTTTACTTATGCATCGGAATGCTGGACCCTTACTGAGAAAGACAAAAAGAACATAAATGTATTTGAGATGTACTGCTGGAGACGAATGCTGAGAATACCATGGGTGGTCCGAAGAACAAATGAATCCATACTGGTCCAGCTAAACATAAAGAAAAGACTAGGAACACAAATAACAGAACAGATAATAAGCTATTTTGGACATGTGCTTCGAAGAAATGGTCTTGAAAAACTTACCATCCAGGGAAAAGTACAAGGCAAAAGAAGTAGAGGTAGATCTCCTACACGATACACGGACCATATTGTTGCTACCATTGGCGCTCCATTGTCAGAATGTGCTAGATTGGCAGAAGATAGAAAAACGTGGAGGAACATTGGAAAAATTACCTTACAGCTTCATGATATCACGATACCTGCATCAGGTTAACGACTAAGAAGAAGAAGAAGATATTTAAAACATTGATGAGACGGATATCGCAACTGTTTAGAAGCCAGATAAAATATTGACACGACGTGACTTCAAACAAATAGGCAAACTCACATCGACAGAAAGAGGAACCCATGTAACCCTTACTGTTGCAATTTCAGCAAGTGGTAATACTGTTTCTACATTCATTATTTCCCCAAGGGTAAACTAAAGGGACCACTTCATTAAGGATTTACCTGTCAGAAACCCAGGAGATTCAAATCCATCAGGATGAACAAAAGAACAACGTTTTGTGAAATTTGTCAGATAGTTTCTGTTTCACACAAGATGTTTCATTAGCGCCTTATACTTTTGCTGCTAGAATTCCTAAGAAAGAATGTGAAGTCATAAAAAAACTGTTAAAATTAGAAAAATTCAATATCTGGGACATTTAATGAGGGGTGAGAAGTACGTATTACTGAGGTTGATTATGCAAGGGAAGATACAAGGGAAGAGAAACCCAGGACGACGCAAAATGTCCTGGCTAAGAAATTTGAGAGAGTGGTTTGGCTGCAGCTCATTAGAATTATTCAGAAATGCGGCCAACAAAGTTAAAATAGCGATGATGATTTTCAACCTCCGCTAGGAGAAGGAACCCGAAGAAGAAGACTTTTGCTGCTTGACAACCTTGAATTTTAATATTCTGTCAAGCTGTTAGATATTTGTAAGAAAAACTGAGTAACAGTTTCCTTTGCACTGCTCGCATAAATTGCTGCCTTTAGATAGGAGTATTTACCCCTACCCTACAGAACCCCTACAGAATACTACAATTCAGCTATGGATAACTAGATCGTAAACAATCCAGTTAAGGAATACTTCATATATGATGTTTCTTACATTGTAAAATTAAGTCTACCACCAACTGCTACGCCAACCAATATAATGAATGGGTTCAGTAAAACAGAAATATGTCCTCTGAATGGGGGTATCTTCACAGAGAGTGACTTCTTGCCGTCCTATGTGACAGACAAGCCTAAACCAGCAAATTAAGAAGAAAACGACATTTTCGAGATGTCAACGATAATTTGTTGCAAACACAGTCGAATCAATAAAAATAGAACCTAAAATTTCCATAAGATTCCATCTACGTCTGCAGCTCATCGTGACCCTACATTCTCGAAATCTGATGGTGAAACTAAGTGGTTAGTATGTAAAGAATCCTATTGACATAGCACTAAAGGTGATGCACCTGAATGAGTGCAATGCACCTATTGCAGCAGATATGCTAAAACTTTTTTCATATACATCAATTGTGATTCAGATGATGAATATTGTGAGTAGTTTTTAATTATTAGATTTTCTTAATATCAATGGTCAAAATAAACGAGAAAAAATGAATCTGCATTTCTCTTTGGATTCTGTCACTATTATTACCCTTATGATATCACTAAGAAAATATTGAGTCAACTAACTCCAGAACTCATGGGGAGGCCTTTGTCCAGGAGTGGATGCAAACAGGCTGAAGAAGAAGAAGAAGAACTCCAGGACGTTAGTCAACTAAATCTGCGCCCGAAGCTCCTTGACTTATTTTGCAAGGCATTCAAATGATTTATCGTAGCGCAAAAGGCTTCCTTAATAAATTAGGGTTTATTACTAATTATTACTAACTAATTATTACTAACCCCAAGATTATTACTTTTTCTCTCAGTTTTTGGAATTTTTTTTATTATGCTGTAGTTAAAGAAATTTTTTTTAATGATGTTTATTACACTTTTAGATAAAGATAAGCAAAAGAAACTTAAAAATATTGTGCATTAAATGTTCTACAATTTTTGAAGGATAACAAAAAAATGAAAGGGGAACACATATTTTTATACAGGAATAACTTCTTCTTAAGATGCCTTCTCCATTACTGAAGGTTGGCTATAACTACAGTAAATTGCTCTCTATCTTGACCTGTTCTTAGTATCAAATGTGTGTCCATGCCTGTCCAGTCTCATACATTCTTTAACCAGAAGCATTTTCTTCTTCCTGGACGTCTTCTTCCTTCCTTTTTCCCTTCCATTAATGGTACAGGAATAACACAAAAGTAAATTAGAGCAGAACGACTAAATACAAAATCTACGTTTACAGAACAAAAGATTCACTTGGAGAAAGAAAAGTAACGAACAATTACCAAATCAAAAAAGAAGACCTTATGGTTTAGGGAATCAGTAAAGACAAAATGGGAAGAAAAAAATAAAATCTTTTTACAATACAGAACACACATAGAGATCAATGTACTAATAGAAAAAACAACACATTTTGAAGGAAGCATGGACAGATACAGGCGATTTAGGGGGGCAAATTAGGGGATGCCCATGTTCAACATTGGACGCAGAAGGCTGCACAATGATGGTGATACAACCAGCCCCAATTAGTATTAATCTAATTATTGTTATAGGGTAAAAATAAAGAGAAAATCTTTTTAAATAAATATTGGGATTATTTTTATTTACATTTACTTTACAAATATTTTTTTTTCGACAATTATAGACATTTTGTTTAAGATGACTAATACGAGTATGTTTACCAAAACAGCATTAGATGCTTCTTAGCAGTTTGTAGTATTGTAAACCATGTATTAACTTATCGAAATTGGTTATGGTTAAATAAAATCTGGATGCTTTTTAAAGAAATCATCCCATTCTTGTACATTCTCACATGGCCATCTCATGTATTCTTGTCCCTTTCTATATCGTGTACACCAAGTACCTAGAAAATAAAAAAAAACACTTGATAAAATGGTAGTGAAATAATTTTTTGAGAGGCAGTTTTTTTAGGTGTAGCAATAAAATATGGCTTGATACATTAAAAAAATGTAAAAATTCTTTAATTTTAGGACAACCTATATATTATTTTCACCAATTTCTATTATTTCCACCAATCTCTCAACAGTAAGTTTGTTTTACCATAAACATTAAGTAATTGGTACTTAAATCTAAATTTTGTTTTGACTAAAGTTTTATATACATAAAATAAATAATTTAAAGTTTATAGTATAGAAATACTTTGTGTAATGTGGAATAATTTACGTTCACGACAACTTTAAACTTTACTACTTGTTTGCCAAAATGTTCTTTGAAAATATAAAATCCTTCTGAACAGTGAAAATCCTTCATCAGCAATTCGGTGTTGTTTGTTTACATCTATGTAGTATTATGAAATATGTTGTTTGTTTCTGGATTTGTCTCCAAATTGATTTATATTTTGATACGTTGGTGATTTATCTGTATGATTTATCGAATGTTTTTGTCCCGTTCGTTCTGTTTATTTTTGCAAAATCCTATCTTTTACTGTATTTTTCTCAATGTTTTTATAATTGAAATATTTTTTTACTAAACTGCTAAATTAGCAGATATTTATATTTTTTATAATATGCATGTTTTATATATCTAATATACTACTTAATGTTGAATACTAGTACGTATACCTAATTATTATTCATTTAAATCAATGATAATTTTTCAAGAAATTATGTGTTTTAAGTTTGGTAGGTGTTCGATAGTAATTGGAATGTGTTGATCAAAAAGCTGTACTTAGTTTACTGTGTTTGTAGGATTTTTTTATGGATTTTTGTGATCTAGACTCTCTTTAAGATCCAGCAGTAATCAGTTATGATTCTTATATACCATCTTCCTTGCTAACGTCCCTTCATCTCCTTTATATCTTGATGAACCCTCTCTCCCTGATCCTCGCTAACAGCTCCTAGATTTTAGGGAAAATATTCCACGTGGAATCTAGAAAATGAAATTTGACGATCATATAACACCCCAGTTTTTTATAATTTCTGACCATTTTGGCTACAATTTCTTTATAGTTTTTAGACTGGTTGTTTCCAAGAGAACCGTCTAGGACTTCTGCGAAAGAATTCCATGTTTCAGGTTCATCAGATTCTGAAACAATCTATCTGATTTTAAGGTTCGAATTTGAGGGCCTAAAAAAATTCCATCTTTAAGGTTAGCTTGAGGAAGTGCAGAAAATTTGTCGTACAGATATTTAAAGCAGTCATTTTTTAATCTAAAGCTTTGACATACTGCTTCATTAATCATAACTTTATGCGAAGAAAAGGGTAAAAGAACTAATTTTGGGTCAACCAATGTATCACGTTGCACATTTTTTGTCCCGGTCCAAGTCTTTCTCTGAGTAGCCATCTTTCTTAATATAATGTAAATTTCGTGCTCGAGCATCTCACTCGTACAAAAAACATGAATACTTTGTGAACCCAAACTGCTGACCCAAAAGCATGGATATTATTTTGAGATCTCCATAGAGGTACCAACAATATTCTCTGTAATTTATTTTATTTATCTAAAGCTCAGGGATCTCATATGTTTATTTTGAGATGCACAAAGTGAGCAACAGGCACTGAGGTATAAATTACCATTGTGCATTTAGTTACCCTTTTAACTGCTCTAAGAAGAATCAATAAATATCCACCATGATGTGGAATCGTAATTGTCAGTTCCCAGTTTCATGACTACTTTAGGAATATTATGACAATACATCAGCAGGAAAAATATTCCGCGAACTCTTTTTCACGATGCCTATACTACGAAATGTTGGTACGTAGAGCCAACAAATTTTTGTCTTTCAGTCATGATCCTAAGATTTGTACAGCATTCTTCGATAGGCTCAAGTCTCCCACTAAGTCATTTAGTTTAGCTTGAACAACCTTTTAAGGTTCTTCTATCTCAGGATTAAATTCGTCTTAATTTTTTTTGTTTGAACTTTTATCTGATGATTGCTGTTGGATAATGTAAAGAAAAGGTAAAGGAATATTCCTGGACCATGAGATAAACGTTGTTTAGCAGAAGGTGAAACAGGATATTGAATTTTGTGTTTATTTTTCAAATTGAAACCTTTAAGTAAGCATGATAGGCTTTCTTTATAAAGTCTGTTATAGTTCATTGATGCTTTTCTATTATTAAATCACGACACATCTAACACAATATACTAGAACTGTTCTTACACTTTCATAAAAAAATTATAAAACAAAATACAACGCCTTCTGCGAATGCCTTCAAGTTGACGGCATTTCAAGTAACAATCGAATTCATCAGTTATTCCTTGAAGTATTTACAATAATTTTTGACAGTGAATTGTTTTGACACAAACACATCTGTCAATACTTTCATCAAGTAACAATCGAATCCATAACTTATTGCTTGAAGTATTTACAATAATTTTTGACAGTTATTCGTTTTGACAGCAAAACTAAAATGGTTTACTTCCTACCTAGAGAATAGAAGACAAAAAGTAAAGATAACATCTAATGGACTTGTAAACGAATCGAACACATTGGATATCCATTATGGTATCCCTCAGGGTAGTGTATTGGGTCCCCTACTTTTTATAGTCTTTATTAATGATATAACTTTGGTAACTAATTCACTGACTGAGGTTAACATTATCAGTTATGCGGATGGTACCAACATTCTAGCCACAGGAACGTCTGATCAAAATTTGCAAAATAAAAACTTCACAGATACTATCCACCATCAAAAGTTATTTCTTATCCAACAAATTAGTTTTGAATAAAGAGAAATCAAAGTATATGATTTTCTCGTCAAATAATTTATTAAACCATCAAGCCACTATAGAAGCAGCAATAGATAAAACAGACTGCACGAAGTTGCTGGGGGTACTTCTAGACAGTAATTGTAAATGGTCAAACCACATTTCTAATTTGAAATCCAGATTAAGTAGCGCATGTTATGCATTAAGAATTCTTTCACGTTTCTTTCATACATCAATATTAAAAACAGTATACTTTGCCCATTTTTACTCAATAGCCAAATATGGCATTGAAGTCTGGGGTTGTACCTCTGAATTAGAGCAGATATTCGTACTTCAGAAAAGAGCTATTAGGATAATGTATCAAATGAAATTTATAGATTCCTGTAGAGGCATCTTTAGACAAAACAATATTCTGACAATTCCTGGTCTGTATATATTTTCGTGTATAATGTATTTGCATAGCAAAATTTATGAATTTAATAACTTTCAATTTAACCATGTTTATTCAACAAGATTCAGAGACAATCACTTTATGCTTCCACAAATTCCAAGATTTATGTCTGTATTTTTGACTTGTCTCATACATGTACTTTGTATAATGTCTCATGTGATCAATAAATTTGACTTGACTTGACTTGACTTGGCATATTTATATTAAAATGAGCCATAAATTGATTATAATTTCAATAAATAAATGAAAATTGCAATAAAAATAATTTTAAAATACTAATAGGGTTATTATATCTCTTTGTCTACATATCGTTATCTTCTTCTTCTTCTTGCTATGCCATCCCCATTAACGAAGGTTGTCTACCACATTTCTAAAAGTTCTTTGTATTTTGCAACATGGAATAAATTCGTCTACAGTCATGTTTGTCCAGTCTCAAATATTTTGCAGCCATGACTTCCTCTTTCTACGTATTTCCTTTTTGCCATTGACTCTACCCTGCATGATGACCTGCAGAAGACTATATTTATCATTCCTCAGTATGTGTCCAAGGTATGCAGTCTTGCGAACTTTTATTGTTCTCAACAACTTTTGTCTCGACCCATCCTTCTCAGCACTTCCTCATTGGTGACCCTGGCAGTCCATGGAATTGTCAACATTTTCCGGTATATCCAAAGTTCAAAGGATTTCAGCTTCTTAACTATTTGCGCTTTTAACTTTCACGTGATATCGTGATCCACATCAAAATTTGCAGGCCCTTATAGCAGTACCCTGATATACTATTTTTATACTATTTTTAATATATTTGCCTTTTTAATATATTTTATAAATAACAAGAGCCAAAATAAAAAACACTTAAATAGTGGTGTATACAAACTCCAATGTGGCGACTGCCCAAAAACTTACATCGGTCAAACTGGTAGAAACTTTGATAAACGAATAGCAGAACATAAAAGGGCTTTCAAGAATAGAAAAACAGATTCGACATACGCACTTCACCTTCTAGATCATAATCATTCTTTTAATGACAAATTTAAAATTCTTCACATTCAAAATAAAGGCCTTAAGCTATCTTTGTTAGAATCTATGGAAATCAACAAATTAAAAAACACAGATATAATTCTGAATGACCAACTTGAGACAAACAGTTCTCCCCTCCTCAACCTATTTCATTAGAGACTATAAATTTGTAAACCCAAGCCAAAATAGATCACTTGAGAAAGGCAATCAGCCGAAACAGCTGTAGTGATAATATTTAAAATAAATTTTGTGGAAGTTTGAAAACAAAGTTTTCAGTGTTTTATTGTTACATAAAATGAATTTCCATCAAGTAACGGTCGAATCCATCAATTATTAATTTGTATTTAATTATATTGACAGATACGTGTGATGCGGCGGTTCAAATTAATATTCATGCTATTCACCGGGTGGTCAAAGGTCAGGTGCGTGACTGTGAATATCATATAAGGCGCGAGTGGGCAGGTGACGTCATAGGCTGGCAATGACTGGTAATAGTGGAGAGTGTCAAAAGTATCGCACAGCCTACACAAAATTTTTAACTCAATCAAGCTGCCGAGACACATGGGTATCGAGGCCGGGTGAGTCGCCTGTCAAATTTGGTAAAAAAGCGCCAATTATTATATACAACATCAGTAGTTGTAATAACCTACCAAATATTTTGATTCTAAATGTTTAGTGAGAAATATCTCCGGAGTTGAGGTCGAAATGTCAAAAACAAACGTAAAATTAAATTTTATACAATTATTTATGGCTTCATCCCATATAAACATGACATTTAACTGATACGCCTCAAGTAAAACATTTTCTAACCTCTTTAAACAATGTTATGTTGTTTTTATAAGTACTTTGAATCATGAAAAAGCTATTAAGGTAGGTTCGCCAAATAAAGCCCGGTTCCTAATAAAGCCCACTCGCCCATATTTCTCAGGATGGACAAATAATAGCAGTATGCTGCAATGTACAGATGCAGTAGAGCCATCTAGGTGCAAATTGTTACACTAAGTTGAGCAGCAACGCGAACTGTCGCTTTTATATGATTATTCGTTTACAGTGGTCAATGGGTAAACATCCAATCTAATATTGAGGTTAGTATACTTTTGTAATTTAATACGATTATAAGTGCGATTTTTTTTATTTTGCATGACATTTGTGTACTTATTAGTTGTACTTTCATAGTACCTGAATTACCTTATGTTTATTAAAACGTAAATAGTGGTAATTTCTAAAAACATTGATCACCTACAGTATTGCTAATAAGGCCCGGGTGTACCTTATTAAGACTACGGGTGGGCCTTATTAAGACCACTACAATAACACCTTTTATAAGTTTTTAACTTTGTTTCAGAAAGAATACTAAAAAGCTTAAGATGCCTAGAGCTTTATGGACTGAAGAACAAATGGCTTTGGCCTTGCAAGCAGTTGCAGTTAAAAATGGGATGTCAGTAAGAACAACCGCCAAAGAATTTAATATTGTCCGTCGAACACTTAGGAATCATTTGCTTAGAGGAAAAGCGAAAAAGAACTTGGGCGCCCTTCATGTTTAACCCTCCAACAAGAATCTGAGTTGTGTGGAAGAATTTTTAGGCTAGCTGACGTTAAAATGCCTCTGACATCAACAGTGATAAGACGTTTTGTCCATGAATATTGCCAAAGAAATGGCATATCTGCACCTTTTATCAATAAAAAGAAAATCTCAATTCATGAATCCAGCTAGAGCCGCCAAATTAAACAGATTCATAGTCAATGACTATTTTGAAAAGCTACGCGAAGTTATGTTGAAGCTTGATATCCTGCAAAGTCCTTAACGCATTTTTAATATTGACGAGAAAGGTTGCCGCCTAAACCTTCATAAATCACAACAGGTATATGCTCGTAAAGGTGTCAAACGAGTTCATTTGATTTCGCAAGAGCACGCTGAGAATGTGTCAATCGTCGGTTGTGGAAATGCTGTAGGACAAATAATTCCACCTATGATCTTGTTCAAAGAAAAAAGAAAGAAGAATGAATGGTATGACAATCTTCCTGCTGGAACAGTTATTGAAATGACCGAGAAAGGAAGTATGACTACGCCAGTTTTCATTAAATGGGTACAACATTTTGCTAAGTACAAGCCAATAGGAAGAATACTGCTTATTTTCGACGGAGCATCGTCCCATCTGGATGCAGGTATTGTTGATGAAGCCGAGTCACATGAAATTACGCTTTTTTGCTTGCCAAGTAATTGCACACATAAACTGCAACCTATGGACCAGGCGGTATTTAAAGCCTTCGAATCTTACTGGGACGACGAAGTTATCACCTACTTGACAAATAAACCAGATCGAACGATCAGTAAATTTTCGTTTGGCACAGCTTTCTCAAAAGTATGGCCAAAAGCAACTACAGCATCAAATGTTATTTCAGGTTTTCGTGCTACGGGAATATACCCGTATGATCCGAGTGTCACTCCTGACATAGCTTTTTGCCCATCAGAAATAACAGAAAATAAATTAGACTCGGAAGATTCTGCTATTCCATCAGCTTCGACTTCCGCAACGAATAATCCTATTGGCAGCTCCACTGCAGACAGAAAAAAGAAAATAAAAGCTCTAAAGGAGAAAAATACGCAAGATAGCTCTGAGAGTTCTGACGGTTCTGACAATGAATTTTTAGTACATGACAGCTCAGAAGAAGAATACGAAATGTCAGTAAGTTTTAATGCAGTGTTAATAACACCAGAATTGGAAACTGGAAAACGCAAATGTGCTAGAAAGAAATCCCTGAACTATCGAGCACAGGAAGTCATAAAATCATTGTTTGATAAAGCTGGTTTAAATGACCCTAAAAACCAATCAAGAAAAGAAAAATACTTGGCAAACGAAAAAATAGTCAAAAAACAACTAAAAAAAGGAGAAGAGAAAAATAAAGACAGCTCACTTGAAACCTCTTAAAACAAAGAAAAACGACAAGATAGTTGGTATTGTTTCGTCTGCAATGAGGATGTCGTTAAGGATATGAGACTTTGTGACAGCTGCAAAAGATATATCCATGAAGAGTGTGTAGGACTTTCAGCAGATGATAAAGACTTAGTTTTCATATGTCCAGACTGTTTGCAATAATTATTTTAAGTATCTATTATTTTTTACAAAATAAATGTCCTGCATGTCACCTTTGTTTAATTTGATTAATGTATAGTTGCACCAATAGAACTTAAGCTTAAGACGTACGTGGAACGTCAATGCGACATAAGCTGAACTTGGCTAAACTGGAGCTGAAGATCTGTTGGTGCAATTAGGCATAATGGTCACATTTAAAAAGTGGGCCTTATTAAGAACATGGTGTTCCTAATTAGGCCCAGAAGCAACTATTTTTTTAAAGACTAAAAAGTAACAACTCATAAAATTTTTAACAAAATTTAACAATCTCATATTAAATTTAAATATGTGATTTATTTTCTCTGTGGTTTTCAGATTTATATCGTGATTTTATTTATCAAAAAACAACTAACAAACGTTAAGTGGGCCTTATTTGGTCAACTTACCTTAGTAACAGAAATGACAAAAGCTCCAAATTAGTTAAGATTACAATTCCGCTAAAAGAGCAGTGAAAACGACAGATTAGCTTGTTGTTAATCTACTATATTCTAATGATGCCATCGGCATAGCTTAACCGCTGAAGCTTGTGAAGCTTATCGAGAACCAAGTTCGAACCGGGGAGAACTTCAACTAAAAGCATTCGAGTATTGGTCGAAGGAAAAGTAAGTGGTTTTAAGCTTGAGTACTAATCTGGTAATAGCTCATAATTCGGGTCTTTGAGTACTGATCAAAGATCAACCCTTCTTCCCGTCTGCAACTAAGTATTGATTGATCGTTTTTCCGTTTCTTGTCCGTATCGAGTAGTGATTGATCAGCGACCTCTAACTTACATATATTTTAAATAATTTATACTGGTGTTTGGATATTGAACAATATATGGCCCTTTGTATTCAACGATCCTAGTATCACCAATATTTATTTTTCGCAGTTATCAACAGCGGACCGTAGCGTTGTCGATGTCATTCACTAGGAGCATTTTTTTATTGTATATAATAGAAGTTAATTTTATTATTATTTATGTTGAATATATTTTTATTTAGAAGACACTTTTTTTTAATAAGTAGTTTATTAGTCTAGGAGAGCTATCTGTGACAATATATTAGTTAAATGTCAAAATAAACGTATTTAGGTTAAGATTGTGAATATTTTATATTATAAATGGTAAATAAAATATTACCTAATCATATTAGACGAGTTTTTATATTACTTAGTTCTTTACCCAAAAGGTGTGTAAAAAACGTAATATAGAACTTTTTTAAAAGTTAAGTTAGAAGTTCTTTTTTTGTTGACTTTAATATGATAATTTTACTTTTAAATTACCTGTCCTGTCCTTCAAGATATTGCTTACTCGTCCGGAACATTTACACTTTGGCGATTTTATCATATTACAAGGCATAATATGAAATAGATTGATGGCTACACATTGAGGCCCAGTGCTACTAAAATCCACTCTGTAACCTTCCCAACATTTACATGGTCGTTTGTCTGCTTGAATAAATGCTGATAGTGTGAGGAATAGAAAAATGGTCCAAAATCTACAAAAATATAAGATTTAATAATAAGATTTAAATCTAAATATAATTTCGTTACTTTATATATACACATTAAATAAAAAAAACTAAATCAAATGGACATTAACTGAAGAATGAGCAAGTTATTGAAAAAAAATATCGCTTTTATCCGACTAAAATATCAGTTTCATAAGCTCAGAGCAAAATAATTTAAATTTTCAAACCAAAAAATCTACACAGCATATAAATTCGTCGTGGGTACTTTATTTGCATCCAAAAATACAGTGTGGAAACCCCTTATGGAATAAAATTGTTTGTGTCCTTATTATAAAAAAAAATCAAAAACTCTGGGACACGTTAACTTTTAAATTTAAACGTGCGCTTTTTAAACATAAGTTTAAATGTACAGGGTGGTCCACACAAGTCTGGCATAGTCCATACTCCTTATTTTTAATGAAACACCCTGTATATTTTTATGTTTTAAAAATACTTTTAACAACGTGATTTCAATAAACTATATCATGTAGGGTCTATAATAAATAATACAAGGTAAAATTTTGAAATTAATAATTTATCACGTGTTATAGTATTATTTTAAATTAGATAAATACAGACAATAAACTTCTACTCTAAGTGTCAGTACACTGTATATTGGGTAAAATTTCTGTTTAGTAACCGTGTTAACATTTTTGTCGTGAATAGGTAAAAACTGTATAGATAGTCTGCTAATTAAACTAAAGCGGTAAATAATTCGGATTGTTATCAATCAGTTGACATGCTGTTGACATTTCACATTAAAATAATAAATTCTTAATTAAATACTAATTTCTTGCAGAAATAAAAATAAAATATTTAACTAAGGCCCACCGATTTGAGATTTTAATGATGATCGGTTACGGGGAGAATTGTAGAAGTCAAGTTGAAGTAGCAAAATTATTTAATCAGAGGTATCCTCAGTTGCCTAATATTTCACAAGGTACTGTGTCTAAAAGTTATGCACAATTCATAGAACTTGCATATGTCAAACCATTAAAATGAGTGAAAGTGGATATTTTGTTAAGTGTCGCAGAGAATCCAACGTCAAGTTCACGTCAAATTGCACGTCAAAATAATGTGAGTCACACAACTGTCCTAAGGTGTCTCCATGAAGAAAACTTCATCCATATAAATTAACATTTGTGCAGGAGCTAACAGAAGACGATCCGGATCGTAGAATGGATTTCTGCAAAAGAATGAGGGATAAAATTTGCAAATGAAATAGCTCTTGGCACAATTCTTTTTTCTAATGAATCAAAATTTACATTGAGCGGAGAGGTAAACTGACAAATCTGTAGATATTGGTGAGCGGAGAATCCTCATTGGATGCGTGAGATACACACTCAGTATTCTCAAAATTTGAATGTTTGGGCAGGTATTGTAGGAGATCATATTATTGGTCCTATATTTATAGATGATAATTTGACACCAGGAAAATATTTAAACATGCTAAGAGACGATGTTCTTCCTTAGTTGGCTAACTTATATCCCAATCCAATAGATCCGACCCTACCCCATGAAATTGTCTGGTTCTAGCAGGACGGTGCAACACCCCATTATGCTTTAATGGTGAGAAATTACTTGAATGAAATCTTCTTCAATAAGTGGATTTGATGAAGGGGACTAGTGAGCGGCCAGCTAGGTCGCCAGATCTCACGCCTTTTAATTTTTTTGTGGGGTTATCTCAAGAACAAAGTATATGCAACACAATCAACTATCATTGAAGACCTTAAAAAGTAAGGATAACTACAGAAATACGAAATATTTCACCTCAAACTTTAAACAAAGTTCGAAACGGGTTTGATAGGAGACTGTGTTATTGCCAACAACAAGGTGGAGAACATGTTGAGCATTTATTTTAATGTAATCCAATCAATTACCTCGGGTATTCTATGAATTCATTGTCTTGAAGAAAATACCTCATTTCAAAATTTCACCTTGTATTATTCATAATAGATCCTACATGATATGGTTCGTTGAAATCAAGTTGTTAAGGAGCTTTTAAAAACATGAAAATATACAGGGTGTTCCATTTAAAATACAGATTATGCACTATGCCAGACTTGCATTGATCACCCTGTACATTCAAATTTATGCCTTAAAGGCGTATATTTAAATTTAAAAGTTAAGGTATCTCAACGTTTTTTTATTATTTTCTAAAATAAGGACACAAACAATTTTATTCCATAAGTGGTTTCCACACTGTATATAAACTTTGAGAAATATTGCTTTCTAGAGGAATTGAAATAAAATGAGAATATTTGAGAGAAAATTTACAGAATTTTCAGAGAATAAAACATTCAAGCTATAGCAAACTGATCACCAGCATCATTTGCAGACCCATAAACTGATCATACATTTTGTAAAATCTATCAGACATTTTGTTAACTGCTAATAAAAACACCTTAGAACTTCTAGTAAATTTTATTAAAGAAGTAAAAATAGAAATTTAAAGCAGCATAACCCACAACTCTGTATTTATATTATAAGAAAAGTTATGTATACAACTTTCTATGGCAAATGGACTTGATTTCGTACCATTATCTTTCCACACACACACACACACACACACACACACAGACAGTTAACAATAATCGCTTAAGAATAAACATTGATATGGTACTAGTATCGAGGTATATTATCATCCCGCTATAAATTCTTAGCAGTGAATGTTTAATATTCAGCAGTTCAAAAAAAAAAAATTTATTCGATATGAGATTCTTTTAGTTCAATACACATTTCATCAGTAGAACGTTCCAGATAGAATGAGCAAACTTCATTCAAAAACATAACGCGAAAGAAAATTTATTATAAAAGGTGTCACGTCTTGTAAACATTAAAATAAATACCGTTATAATAGCCATCAATAGTTTAGATTATAAATATATAATTTTAAACATAGCTTATATTGTTGCACAGTATATAATAAAAATGTGTATACACTCTGTATTTTTGTTTACCCACTTTTATTTCTTATCTCTTTAGAAACTGGACTAACATCTCGACACTTTATATAAGATAGAGGAAAACATCTACGACTTACACTTGCATTATTTTCGCACTTATTCACAGCAACAAAAAAATCTCGTAAAAACCGAACAATGTCATTTTCTTCACCACGTTGCACCGCTCGCTGATGTTAATCTGTGCTTGCTTTGGATGACATCGTGCAGTTGTCTTCTACAAAACGGTTAATGAACGAAGAACCAACGTTACTTGTGCTAATAAGACACTGTTGGCTCAGGACAGGCCGCGAATTCTTTTGTTATACGAATTATTGGTAGGTGTAACATAATTTGCAATTTATTTTTAAATATTTTCTGTTAGAAAGATAATTGGAAATTTAATTAAACAATAAAAATAAGTACATATTAGTATATTATAATATTAACAGAGGAGACATAACTACCTAAGTATATACTAAAATATTATTATTAAATTATTATTATTAAAATATAAGTATTAGTATCTAATGAAATAGTCGTTAAATAAAAACGGGAATTAACCGCTCTCCACAAACACAGAAAAAGTATTTTGACAGACTTTTCTTCTAAAAAAAAAAACTGAACAACAAAATTACTTAAAATAAAGTTTCGACGGCATATCTGTGAAACAAATTAAACATTTTAAGGTTGTAGCAAAAAGTTGGATCTTGCGCCTGTTCAATAGCTGCTGAACATTTTAATTACCAAAAATTTAAAAAAAGTAAAAGTTATCAGCAGGCTGGTTTTAGATTTGGCCGATGTGCATCAGCAAACCCTGGCTCTGATGGAACATATCGAGAACGGATTTGAAGCAAGAAAGATAACAGGCCTAGTACTCGTCGAGCTAAGTGCAGCGTACGACACCGTCAACCAGAGAAATCTACTGCCGAAGGTCTACGTCACTTTTAAGGACTACCAACTTGCCAACATTGTGAAAGTATCATCATCCAGCCTTCTGCGTTCGTTCAAAGATGCTAGTTTCTGCTAATGTCTTTCATTTTGGTCAGTCTGAAGCTTCCTGCAGCCAATTCCCAGCTATTATTTTAACATCGTCTGTCCATCGTGTGGGTGGTCTACATAATTAGCTGCATTTATCGGCTCTCGTAGTCTCACGGAGAAAATACACTGTATTTTTTTGAGTCCACTGCCCGTTATTTATTCATGTGCTATGTAAACTATACTGAGACTGTGATGTCTCTCCTTCATATTATTTTTTCGTTTCTAACCCTGTGTCTAAAAGTCGTGCAAGTAGCGAGCTTTGTTTCATTCTTCCTTATGCTACGCTGAGTTTGGTCACTGCAGCCTGAGTTAACTAAAGTATTTTATCACCGTTAGTCATGAGCGGAAGCACACATTGGTCGCACACATTGGTTTTTTTAATTAATTTGGCATATTGGTCTTAAAGAGAGTCTGATAGAGCTCCATATGCGGCCCATGCTAAAGTGACCTATCTTCGTAGTTCAGCAGTTTGGTTGTCCCCTGGAAAGTTGTATTTCATGTCATAAGTATTTACATTACATTACATTAAATGGTACAAGATTTGTCATGCATTGTGTCTTTTCGAAATTTTGAATGTTCCAACCAACTTTATTATAAAAGGCATTAACTCAGTCACCATAGTTGCAATCTTTTATAAGTTATCGGTTATCGAAACAATGTCTTCCGTTAATAGCAGGTGAAAGGGCATTTTGCCGTCGATATTGATTCCTTTGGCCGATTACTTCAATTTTTTGACAGCATGTTTCAGAACTGCCGTAAAGAGTTTGAGAGATAACATGTCTTCTTGTCTGATTTCTCATTGAATTTTTATACAGAATGTATCTTTGTATATTCTAGCGGCCTTTGTTATATTATTGTTTACATTGACGTTTAGTTTGGAGTTCCAATAAACGATGTAACTCCCAAAAAGGCATTACTTTCTATCCCATAAAGGGGTTACTTTTTATCGCATATAATGCTTTGCGAAAGTCTACGATAGCCAAAACCTTTGGTTGGTTGTATTCG